GAAGGACCAAAGTAACTACTAAAAGGGAATTAAAGAACTTAGAGGAAATACAGGAGGTGACAGCGTAAATAAAGAGAGAAAGGCAGACATTTCCATTTTACATGGAATGTTCTGTGGAGATTCGTAGACAAATATATGTGAAGTACCCCGTTTGAACATGTCGCCTAATGTACGTACGTTTTCATTAATTCCTCGAAAACAACTCCGTGTTTTATAGGTGAAGTGAAACATTATCATACGAAGAGACGAAAAATTTCGTGGGTTGTATATATCAAAACTTTGTTGATCATTTAACGTGAGCGTTCGGACGTGGTTGGTGGGGATCATTAATAGCTTACGACATGTAAGCAAGTGATGTACTATATACTTTGCGTTATTATCTATAGTTAACCTGTTTGTCTTACGAGATGAATATGGTAAAACTTAGTGGAAGCGTTCATAGATTAGGGTAGCAGTAAACTTGCCTAACATACTTGGTTGTCATAGATCGACAAATAATCGAAGGTGGAATGCAGTGTGTACGACTTTCATGAAAAAACTGTAGCAGTGTATAAATCCCCAAAACAAATAGTTCTGTAAGTTGTTGACGTTTAGTGCTGACCCTTTTAATGTTGATGGGCACATTTAACTGAGGGTACTCGGTCATGCATCCGCACCAGATAATGAGTGGGTTCGCCGTGCTGTTCATCACTTGCAACCGTTAGCCAGCTTAGATCAGACGCTTCCCGATATGTCGATAGCCTCCCAAATATATCTTCGAACTTCTTCATCTCTGACTTCTGATTTGACTGGGTTGACATACTTTGATTATAAAGGTGTTACGTGTGAAGACATTGTCAAACTCGGCAGATCTGTGGCACCTATAGCGGTGAGATCGACATGATCTGGTACATTAAGCAGAGAACTATGGGTCTTTTCCTTGTTGTAACACTACATGTTATTTCTCAATTTTTATTTTTGCATATCGTGATATTGTTTTCATATTTTCAGGTATTTTTTCTCGTTCATAGCTATACTTTATATTCATCAGGACCGAGGAGACTCCCAGGTTACTTAAAATCAAGACTCTTACACTACTCTCACTTCAGCTAATGCCATTCCGGCCCGATAGTAGGAAAGCTGACTTCCACGAGCACGCCGTGACAAACCTTTGCGCACAATTCCTCGCAGTAGTGACTTCAGCATGCACTTTACACCTAGGTTATGTACTAGGGATGTCTCGAAACTCTATGAAACTTTGAAAAGGCTATCTTTAAGTATGGTGACCTAACCGATTGACAAGTGTTAAACCAACTCTTCCATAATATCGAGCGGCAACATACCTGGGCAACAGAGAAGTTGATACTGATGCATGAGGCCAGTAGTCAAAGGACTTTTGAAAAGTGCCTACTTAGATAGTTTTTCTTGTTTAAACGTCCCCATCAGGTGCAGACAGTCTTTGTCTCATTTCAAAACAACGCTTTAGACGAACTGGTTGTATCTACTTGCCGGATTCTGGAGATCTTTAAGACCCCAACGTCGAGGTTTTTTTATCAAAGGAAAGCCTCAAACAACACAAAATGACGTCAAAGACATCTGTCACACTGATTCAATATCTTATTATTCACTATTATCGTGGACGCTCGTCACAATGGTTTATCGCTAGATCACAAGAGACAGATATTCCTTGCCGTCAATACTACCAATAATTTACACATCACGACTACAGGACCACCTGTATTCTTGAAAGCGCGCCGACTAACTCTCGAAAAGCTAGGTTTGAACGAAAACGATATGATAGATGTAGAAATTATTCGGTCATCGAACAGCTGATGGTCATCTCGCTTAAACATGGTGCTCAAAAAAGACCGCAGCGATTGGCATCTACATGGTGATTACCAGCAACTGAATGCGAAAACCACTCGTGGTGGACAGCTATCATAAAAGACAACTGTTTTTTTTTTAAAAAACTGGCTTGGTTAAAGCATATAACGGAAATTCTATAGCTGTTGACGATATTCCCAAAGTCATTATCATCATAACCCTCTGAATCTACGGATTTTTAGTCACATTTCTTGGCTTAAGAAATAGAGCACAAACTTCCCAGAGATTCATGGACAACGTCTTTCTAAGTCTCAACTACGTACATGAATATGCAGATGACTGCTTGATCTAAAGCCTTGACAGAGCATATCATTCACAGCAGCCTTGTTTTCGAACGTCTCCAAAAAGTTGTCAAGCCGGCACAGACTCCCTAAGTTTTCTCGGAAACGACTTTGATGATCAAGGCTTTCGCCCTCTGAAAAGTTAAGTGGCAGCCATTCTGGATTACCCAAAACGGACCACAATCAAGCAACTGAGATACTCAACAGCCTAGTAAGCTTTCGTTGCCGATTCATACCGAATCGCAAGTCTTTGACGAGACCTTTAACAAACTAACTTCATGGAAACGAGAGAATAGCATTCTCCACAGTTGATGAAATTATCGCAAACGCGACCACACTCACATATCCGGACATCAAAGTACCAAGTGGTAACGCAGCAGACCCATCCCACCAGGTGATTGCAGTCTCACAACAGTGAGTAAATAACAGCCGACAACCTCCCACATTCTTCTCGAGACGATTGCATGACACAGGATTAAGGTATGACAATTTTGGAAGGGAACTGCTAGTCATGTATTCTGCTATATGGCAGCTTTAACATTCCGTTGGAGGCCGAGAATTCACTCTTTCCACCGATCATAAACGTCAAACCATCCCTCTGGGCTCGTTTTCAAACACATATTCCCCTCAATAATCTCGACAACTAGGCTACATTTCGCAATTTATTTCAGACAAACGACACATTTCTAGAGCAAACAATGTGGTTGCAGACGATTTGTCTAGTATGACGTCCTTGAACAGTTTCCAAAGAGTCAACCTTCTTAAACTCACCCAGCTTCAAAATGAAGATACTGATCTTCAGCACGAGTTATCCTCAATAACTATTAAACTGCGCATTAAACAGTTGGGAACAGGTAGGGGTTGCCCAATCGTGTCGAAATATTATTGATGCCACGTCATCAATACGTTTCACAAGCCTTCTCATCTAGCTGTTAGTACGACCAACAAGCTCATAGTAGAACGACTGTGTTGGCCTGGTATGAATAGAGACGTGAGGAAGTGGGCACGCTCCTGTGTAAGCTGCCAGAAATTTAGGGTGGTTGGACACAATAATGTCCCTTAGGCTCGTTCAAAACTCCTAATACTCGTCTTGACCATATCCATCTGGATACTCTTGCATTTTAACCTGCGTAGACCATTTCACTTGATGGCCAGAAGCAGTACCCATCAATGAAGTAGTTACTGAACTAGTGGTCGGCGCCTTCGTCGACCGATGGGCTGTGTTCCTAGGCTGACCTTTAACCATCACTACAGACCGTGAACGTCAGTTCGAATCTGAACGTTTCCGTTTTGTGACTACACTAGTAAGAATCCCACCAATCCGAACGATCGCCTGCCACTCACAAGCAAATGGGTTGTGAACGCTTTCACAGACAGCCTAAAGCTTACCTATCAGCTGCAAACGTTTCAGTGGACCGAAGCTCTTCCACTCGTCTTACTAGGTATTCGCAATGCAGTGAAAGTTGACATTGGATACACTGCAGCTGAACTCGTTTATGGAACAACACTTTGACTTTCAGGATAATTTGCGGATCCTTCATCTTCTCCAGTGAACATGGATCTAAACTACTACAAGAGCAGGCTTACAAACGCAATGCGTTCAGTTAAACCTGTTTCCACACTACTGCAATCAACTGACGGTTTCATTCGACCTACCTTACGATATGGAACGCACGTTTTTGTACGTCACGACCCATAAAGTTAGTCTCTTGGCATGGTGTACGAGGACCTCTTCAAGGTCCCTCAGTGTGAACCTAAATGCCATATTATCGATAAGAACAGAACTAACGATAGCATCAGTCTTGATAGGATCAATGCCACGTATTCAAAGGGAGACCCTACTAATGTTGATTTACTACCAGTTCACTCGAACGACTCGATCCCCACAATTACGACAATCCACCCTATAATTAACAGTCATTCTTCTAAAGCTTCGAAGTTCGAATATTCATCCAACCATCCAATCACAAGCTCAATCTCGATGGATAATATGATAATTAGAAGTATTCGAATTATTGTACAAACTAGGTATTCCCGAAATAGTGCTATTTACAGTAAGTAGAACTGACTGAGTTCAGACGAATGTCTTGTATTTGAAATTCATAATCAACGGGCAGTCAAGTACAAAGGAATCATATCAAAAGTTTTGAAAAATTTTATAGTCCATCTATATGAAACAACATCTAGAGTACTGGAACCAAGCATCTGATCCATGCCTTATTAAGAACGCAGACACTCTCAAGAATGTTCAGCCTGTGGGACACAACTCACTGTGTTATTTCGCTCACCAGAACCAATAACCTACGAAGCCATAGCAAGAGGACTCGAAGACTGCAATTTAATAGAGACACAACACAGCAGAACAGAATATAGGCGCAACTTATACTCTTTAAGAGTAGCCAAGTGCTGAGATTCTCTGCAAGCTAAGCTAGTTCAAGCAAACTTTCCAGGAGTCTTTTTGGAGAAAACTTGACAAATTCTTAAGGACTAAAGATAGTATCTAACTATGATTTACCAATTTCTTTTCCCTTTTTATCTTTAATATACGTAGGTTCCTGTATGGAGGTATTGGTGATCCAGTACCACCAAACACGGAAGCCCGTTAAGCGAAGGCCTCTCCTATTCCTTACACAACCATTTTGAACTATTTTTTTGGATGGTGGTAATACGTTTTTCTCATCAAGTGGTCGATGATTGGAACTCCACTGAAGAAGAGGGGTCGGCCTCAGTAGTGAAAGTTTTCAAGAGGAATGTGAATCTTCATCAGAAAACAACCCGCAATGGTTGTTACTGGTTCAGTGCCCTGATATCCTTATTACTGAGACATATTGTGTTGCTGGGTAACTAACCAACTTATTTTTCAAAATGTCAAGGTCATACATTTTTATGGTCGAGCTCACAAGTTTCACAAAAGGTTGTTTGAATTTCTGTTTGTTAAGCCCTGAACACCAAATTTGTCAGAAGTTTTTAATCCTGAATTATCTATGAGGTAAATTCATGAAATTATTCCAGTGATTTTTAGAAATACTGGCATCTGTTTATACAGAGATTTACAACATATTTGTACTAATTTTCTTAGGATGCCATCAACAAATTTATGTTCTTTTCAATGTTCCCCATACAATAAGTTTAGGACTAAATGCCACTTTTTCCTATTCAGCTTTCCCATATGTATACACATGGGGGTTAAGCAACCAAAAAAGGGGGAAATCCAAATCATGCACATATTTTTATAAGCTGGAGACTGTGGCAACTGACGCATTTTATTTGGTGAAACAAGTTTTGCACATTTTTCACATGCATTGAGTTGTTTTATTTGGATGAACAGAAAGCCTGTTTGCCTTATTGAAAACGCTTCGAACTATTACTGTTTTAGATACTTAGATAATCACACATCAAGGTCAACAGATTCTACACCATGTTTCATAGAATTACCGAAACTATTACACCTCGAAACACATCATGTCGCATGAAAAGTACAAAAGTATACAAACGACTTTACTTCTGTTTTTGTTCTTCAGTCTTCAGTAATAAGGATAGTAGGTTAGTGAATCTGTGTCAACCCTGACAGATTTGCTCCCAGTGAAGATCCGGCTTCTCCTTGAAAATGTTTTGTTTGATATATATTCAAGCTAAGGTTAATAAAACCCAAGTTTATAAAATTTAATGCCCATTAGTCTTATTACCTACAATTCATTCGTCAGCCATGGGATAGTGTTTGTCAAAACCGCCGTTCCATAGCTGACATAAGATTTCTCTCAAAAGATTCTGTGAGTGTTCTAATATAACAACAATCTTCGCGATGATCACCTAAATGCACAGAATAAAAGTGTTGTAAAATTTATTCTGTGATTTCTTTTAGACCAGAATATGCAATTTCTAGAATCAGTCGGAAATTTACGACCTCCTCGAAGACTTAAATCAGCTACCATAAGTACATCTCGTTCAGATAAAAAGCTTAAAGCTACTACTTATCAAGATCTACCACCACCTTCTATAAGACTACGTTTAGATGAGGCTATTGAGAATGCAAGGCGTAATCATCAGTCCAATGTATTTCCTAGTCGGGATCCAAGTATTTTAAATAGAAGATGGAGAAAATCGACAACATTAATAACTTGCAATGATGCTGATAACAGTAACTCAAATATTTCAGAAGAATCTCAGATGTCTCAGTAAGCCTTACATGTGTATACATCCCGTTTTTATATGTATGCATACATATTTTGATTATTGTCATTAGCTACTGGGAGACTGAGTCTTATGGTACTCAAAAGGAACTGTCAACAGATAGATTGTTGCCCCTAACTGTATTACTGTGCTCATTAGATGACTTGCAAGATTAAAAAGTTAGTCATTTAACAGAGTCAAGTAATTTAGAAACATTACTACTTGTTAAAGGAAAATGTGTTGCGTTTTTTATCGTTTTCATGATTATCCAACTGAATCAATCTTCATTCTAGTGAATGTTAGTTGGTGGGATAAGAATCACATCTGTCATTTATAAAGCATACATCATAATTACGATGATCACAAATTTTTTTCATAAGTGCCTGAGTAGTGGAATGGAAAAGTGGCATGTAAAAGTGTCAGGAATAAAATGTGCGATATAGTAGTTTATTATGTTGCTAGCTAATGTGGTTGAATCTATCGACACTGTCAACCGTTTACATTCACCCAGTTATTGATCAATTAGTATCAACTACTGCCTATTTAAATACATTTAAATCCTCATATTGTCTAGATTAGTGAATCATATGTAGGTGTATTTGGATACGAATTTTGAATCAGTAGTTAGGTCCGTTAATGATTTGTTTGTGAAGTATATTAAATCTTCATCTTCAGTCTCATCCTTGTCCTTACTTCTGGCCCTATCAGTCTATGTTTCGGTATGCAGTAACAAGTAATTAGTTGTCTCCTAAGTCATATTAAATGGCCATACCGTTATTTTATCAGGATATAATATGGAGTACTTATTTGGATCTCTTAGGATATTTTAACACTCCACTGAATGTTCATATTCCTTTTTAATACTTATTTTAAATTTTAACTTTCACAAATCACTTGACCACAAATAATAAACCAATTCGAATGTGTGTTAATGCTTTTGTTCGATACTAACCTCCTGAATTAAATTTAAAAACACGATTTGTGAAATAAAAAATGCCACGAGTGAGGTGGATACTCACCAGTAATATCGATACATGAGTGTAGCGTACTAATATTGATGGATTTTGGCCAATGGTTTTCTGTCTCTTAACTAAAACATTATCATGAAAAACAAAGTCTTAATGTCCTGGGTTTCATCAGATACTGAGACCTAGGTGATAAATCATAAAACTTCAGAACTGAAGGCAAGAAAAAATTTCGGGACCCAGTAATCTTTAGCGATCTTGGTTTACTGACGATCTGTTGTCCTTAAACCTAGATATTTACATTTGTATTAAACTTCATATTAAAAGAATGTTTAGATGTTACATAACTGAGGAAGAGTACTAAGTCACTTAAATAGCGTGTATAATTATGACAACTACCTAAATTCACACGCTACATTGGTTCCCGTCTGGGAAATTCCAGTCAATTGTACATAATTAATAGGAATTTCTTAACAAACACAAGTTAGCCCAAGTACCCAAACCACATCAGTCACACGAGATAAATATAACTAAAAGGAATATGAATATTTTAGTAGTAGTGATAATAAGAAAGACTAAATAATAAGATTGTGGTTAGGAAAGGCGGACTAAATAGATGTGTTTGGAGGAATAACAAAACTCGTGAATGACAAGAAGATGAAAAGAAAATGAATCGGGGCCAGTTTGAATAATTCAGATTCTTGTCGCCCAGTGTCTCACGGTTACTACCGATATCTCAGCTAGGTAGTCTGAATTCACCTAAATGCGTCTGTTTAGTTGTTGGCGACTTCATGTACCGATGCTGTATTTTGCTTTGGCCATTTCTGGCTTTTCTAAAGCCGACTTTTGCACTACCAGACTTCGTTTATAAAACAAACGTTAGACGAGCTTGCGTGATACATATCCTAACCACCTTTGCCTATTACTCCATGCATGACCCTAAATTTGTCTACTTGATCATTTCATGAAACACATGCAATGTTTCAAAAACACTTATAATCGAAAGCCTTTAGTCAGTTGAAGCTCGGATAGCTCAGTGGTAACGTCTACATTTGTAAAGCTGGGTGACACGTGATCAAATACGTCAGGGAGGATCAGTTCCCTCAAGATTACAGGTACATCCTGCTGGCAAGTGCCAAGTAGCGCGAAACTTAGGTCCAGGGTTTCTTATTGACTACCTCTAACCACCACCTTATATATACATGCTTTTCGCTTTTAGATTCCATGCTTCATTTTGAACCACATTATATATCCAGGTTTTGTGGGGCTGATATTCACCAATAGTCTCTACCTGATGTAGTAGGATAATCTCATCAATTAATTTACTAATATCCACAAGGTGATTTTATGATTACTTTAGTAGTTCTTCAAACGAATCAATAATCACTAGTTTGCTTCGGGTAAACGCTGGAATTGGAGCTATTGTATATCACCTTAATTAAACAGTTAATTCAAATCGAAACTGAGATATGTAAAATTTATTATGATGATCAACTACTTGTTTTGTGTTACAGAATCCTACATCCTAATTTAACAAAACCAACTATGATTCATAAACCCGATATATCTTTACGAGGTGAAGAAAGTTTAGAAAATTATATACGCGGATGCGGTAGTCAATGGTTTAAACAAATTACCAAAGAAGAATCTTTCATAGAATGTCAAAAAGATTTACACATCCGTTGTCCACGGGGAGAGGTTTGTTTATTTTAGAGTTTCATTAAAAAAAACCTATTTTAGTATTTACTTTCTTAATTTAAGAGTTATTTAGGAAGTTAAACCTAGATAACAAGCAAACTGCATATATTAAACCAAGTTTCAACGAAATGATAACAGTTTAACAATTTAAGGAGTTCTCACATACATGATTGTGAAGTACATCTACATTTGGCAGCAACACCAGCCTTCAAATGTCCTAGTACGGCTGAGGTTGGAGAGAGTCTGTTCCCTCTCTTGCTCTCTCGAAATGCTCTCACACGACCACGTGCATACAGTCACTGACAGGGAAGTCCTACCTACTGCCTTCTCTCTGAGGAGGTGTTGTTTACGAAATTAAGAGGGCAAAAAGCGCATGTATGATGCTTTAACCGGGTTGGTGAACACGGAAAGTCCACCTAGGGGAGTTGGAAAACACTGATTCCAAACCAATGATGCACATGGGCTCTAGTATCCTGAGAGAGCAATTAGCGTATGAATCAATTGTTGTTCACTGTCAACCACGTGACTGCATCTCCTACGATGCTCCACTGCCTTGTGGATCAGACCTCTATGTCAAAAGCTCGGGGTGTAGCCCTCTAAGAAAACCACCTGCTTCGGTTTTGGTACCCGAGTAGTATCCCAGCCTACACACAAATCAAAGGATAAATATAAACCTTCTTATTTCAAGGATGATGTTTATTTCACGCATGATAATGATCTGTTTTACCGAATAACAAGTACATCTATTGATTTATTCATTCTAATCAGATCATGCATACAAATTGGTACACAAGTGATTTTATACTTTCAAACGTGTTAATTAATATTATAAATTTGCTTATCAAGAAATTCTTTTTCAATGGTCAATCTATTTCGGATGTTTTGTCTGTCCGTTTTTACTCGTTAAATTTACATTTTCTATGTTTAATTAAAATTAATTGATGACTCAAATAAATTTGTTTATTTTGTAAAAGGCAGTAAATTCACTTTATTTCATTATATTTACCTCTGTTCTGATCCACAAGGCAGTGGAGCTGCGTGAGGAGATGCAGTCCCATGGTAGCCGGTGACCAATGATTGATTCATACGCCATTTGTTCCCTCAGGATACTGGAGCTCATGTGCATCATTGGTTTGGAATCAGGGTTTTCCAACTCCCCTAGGTATACGTTCCGTGTCCACCGACCCGGTTAAAGCTCCGGACATTCGCTTTTCTTCCTCTCAATTTCGTAAGCAAAACCCCTGATGCGAGAAGTCAGTGGGCAGGACTTTCCTGGCAGAGACCATATACACGTGGCCATGTGAGAGAATTTCGAGATGGAAAGCGGACTGTCTCCACTCTCGGTCGTACCAGGGCATTTAAGGGCAGAGATTTTTCTAATACAAAACAAAATCTATGATAATCATATAAATCGGATAATTAATATGTAACCATACCTCAACATTAATAATCTATACTAGAATAAGCAAGAGAAAAAACAGAACTTTCAGGAGTTTTATTATTATTATTATTATTATTATTATTATCAGAAAGGGTTTTTGTGGAGATTTAGTATTTTCATAGTTGAAAGCGTAAGCCAATTGAAGTTAGACAACTAGGGAAAACCAGGAAGCACTGGATGGCCATTTTGTCATATTATGGGACTCCTCAGCAGTGCGCATCCACGACCTCGCCTCTCGAGATTCGAATCCAGGACCTACCAGTCTCGCTTCAGAGCACTTAACCGATAAACCACTGAGCTAGCGTCCCATGATGTTTATGTCTAACTCCAACCAATCTACGAAGTTGATCAACCGTTCACTAATTGTCTTCAGTGAGTTTCTAACTCACAACAGACGTGGTTTGAACTCCACTGGTCACTTCTTCTCAGTAGAACCCCTAGATTTTCCTCTCGAAATCAATCACTGGTGAGCATATAATTTTCCCTAGTGGTCTAGTTTTATTATTCCCAAAATAGGTCAAGAATACTGTTTTTATATGGTAAAAAAAACAAAGATCTTGAAAGTGTAACATTATTACTTACTTACTTACGCCTGTTACTCCAAATGGAGCATAGGCCGCCGACCGGCACTCTCCAACCCACTCTGTCCTCAGTTTTCCCTTCTCGTTCTATCCACCTTTTGTTCATTCTTCTCATGTCTGTCTCCTATTCTCGGCGTAGTGTGTTCTTTGGTCTTCCTATTCTCCTTTGACCTTGGTGATTCCATGTGAGGGCTTGTCTTGTGAAGTATTTGAGTGCTTTCTTCAATGTGTGTCTTATCCACTTCAACGCTTCTTCCTGATTTCTTCCTCCACTGGAATCTGGTTTGTTGTCTCCCACAGTAGGTTGTTGCTGATAGTGTCTGGCCAACGGATCCCAAGTGTCTTTCGTAGACAACTGTTAATAAACACTTGTATCTTCTGGATGATGGCTTTCGTAGTTCACCACGTCTCCGCCCCATACAGTAGAACTGTCTTGACATTTGTATTGAAAATTCTAACCTTGGTGTTGGTTGACAATTATTTTGAGTTCCAGATGTTCCTCAATTGTAAATATGCTGCTCTTGCTTTGCCGATCCGTTACCTCACATCTGCATCAGATCCACCATGTTCATCAATGATGCTACCCAGATATGTAAAGGTTTCCACATCCTCCAAAGCTTCTCCGTCAAGTGTAATTCGATTGGCGCATGCTGTGTTGTATCGGAGAGTCTTGCTTTTTTCTTTGTTTATATTAAGACTTACTGCTGCTGAGGCTGCTGCTACACTGGTCGTTTTTTCCTGCATTTGTTGTTGCGTTTGTGATAGAAGAGCCAGATCATCCGTGACGTCTAAATCGTCAAGCTGCATCCCGCCTGTCCACTGTATCCCGTGATTTCCTCCAGATGTCGACGTCTTCATGATCCAGGAGAAAGAGAAAAGGTGAGAGTAAACAACCTTGCCTAACACCAGTCTTTACCTCGAATGAGTCGTTGAGTTGTCCTCCGTGGACGATTTGGCAGTTTAGTCCATCATAGGAGTTCTGTATGATATTGACTATCTTCTCATTATAGAAAAGTAAAAAAAGAGGGTAACAACTCAGTGAATATCAAAAGGCAAGGTGATAACATAAATTAAAGGTTATCAAAAACTTGTTCATAAGTTAGAATTCAAAAGATCTAGATAATTAAAAGTCTTCATTTAAAAAAAGTGATCAAACTACCTTTTGTTCTTTAAAAGATAAAAGCCTCTTTTTTCAAATGATTTCAATTAAAGTACATCACTTTGTCAACTGACCAAACTATATTTATTCTCTTATGATAAACTGTTCAACATTTGAATGACCTGAACATACGACATTGGTTGTAATCTAGGTAAAAGCAATAGAATATCTAATGAATTCATTGTTCAGATAAGATGGTGGTTGGATCACCATTAAAATACTTTGCATATAATCGACTAAGTGGAAGACCATAACCATAACCTGCCATTGGAGCATTGGTTCCTTGATCAGGAGGTTCGAGTTCCATTGACGATAAAGTTGGTTCACCGCATCATTCAGCCTGCCGGGCAGTTGTATAAGTGTAATTGAAAACTAAATCCATTCGAGATCGTGGGATACCACCACCCAAATCAGAAATTTTGATTGCCACATTTTCCTGAGCAGTTACTATCAATACTTTAATGGGAGGATGGTGATCAGCACTACTATAGTGCTCCACCACTGCTCGCATAGCATTTTTCAGTAGTTCAAACAAAATATGATACAAATGCGAAGGAACATAACAAATTCAATTTTTGCATTGTCGCCACTATGCACCCGGACCTCCATTTCAGGAGCCGCCGATTAGTTATGCTCCCAAATAAACTTGGCATCCTCGGTCAACAGGAAACCCTGAACCTAGGTTTCGTGCTACTTGGCACTCGTCAGCAAGGTGTACCTGTAATCTTGAGGGAACCGGTGCTCCCTGATGGATTCGATACCGTGTCACCCAGGTTTACAGTCAGAGACATTACCACTGAGCTATTTGGGCCGCGACCAAACCTTCTGTAGGGCTGAGATATAATCACAGTTGATTGATCACTGGGTAGTGATCAATCAATTGTAATGAATTCATTGTATTTAGAAAAAGGAAAACATTATTATACTTACTTTGTAGATAAAGCATTTAATGGATTTCTAAACAATAGACTTCATATATTTAAAAAGTTAGTTTAAATAAAAGTGGTCTACTTGACTATTATGTGAACTGTGAACCAAGAATTTTGAAAGAGTGAATGTAATTTCACCGTCATAGCTAAGCATCGGTTAAGTACTCTGGTGCGAGACTGTTAGGTCCTGTGTTCGAATCTCACGAGGCAAGATCGTGGATGCGCACTGCTGAAGAGCCCCATAATAGGACAAAACGGCCATCCAGTGGTTCCAGGTTTTTGTTGGTGGTCTAGCTTCAATTGATTCATTATTTCAACTATGAAAATACTGAAATCTCCACAAAACTACTTCTGATTATAATTTTAAACAGTTAACATTTGGATTCAAATTCCTATTTGAAAACAAACATCTTTTTTTTCTCATTCGATATTTGAATGATTTCTTGCTGTATGTACTTTTCTACTACCTCTATTTTTGTTCCCTAAACTCAATAGTGTTTATTTTATAATATTGAACGATCATCATTGATCGAGATCCGGGATATATGTATATGCCCTCATCAAAGAGTTGAAATACATTGTTCCTGTTTTTCTATTAAAACCTTAGATACACTTTTGAAGGTTAGCAACCAGTAAATACATAATTACAATTGGTATAAGGAGATTTGGGTGGGGCTATAATTTATGGATGACCTTTGAGTGGATCTTAAGTGACCTTGAGAAATACTAGACAATCAGAAGACAGTTAGTATAGAGTAAAAACATACTATACAACACCAAAGAATTAGAAAGGATACACTTTTTTTACATGGTTCAAAAACTTGTCAAGGTTAGAAAGAGGTTCAAAGGTTTTAATATCGTAATTTATAAGGTAGAGGAACTCATCCTTATGGCTCCATAATACTCGGTATCTGGAGCCATGATCAGATCACAAAATCACTCTCAGCCTCGACCACATAGCTTCAATATTGTTTGTATGTACTCCGGTTGTGTAAGTTTGTCATTTTTATTACGCATATATTCCTACAACACTTACACTTCTGAACAGCCGAAGCTTCAGTAACATCTGAGAATATTGCAGTCAATAATACTGGTGCTTTTATTATACAATTTACAGCAGTTATTATAATTTGCCTTAATCTCAATCTGGATCGAGAGAAAAAAGTTCCTATTCTAGCAGACTTCTTCCTCTAATATAAATTACATCGAAAGATAACATCATCAGGGTAGTCTGCGCAATGTCTACAAGTCAATTGATTACCGCAATTGTGAATAAAAGGAACTTCTTAGTAGTCCTATTTATTGTAGACGCTTAATCGTCACGTTTTCTCTAAAATCCTTTATGAACCGATTGTACATGAGCATCAGGTAGCGAAATTGGCACTGTGACTTTGAAATCCCTCAAACGCTTCTGATTGGCTCATCAATAAATTATAGTTTCGCCGGGGTTTGTATAAATTATTCACTTTCATTATGAAGCAGTAGATGATGATCAAATGATATTACAAATCGGATGAATTTAGAAATGTGAATCATTACAAATTAATTTATTAGTCTGAGCATATTCAAAGAAGGCTGGTAATCATCGATACAATCCCTTGAGAAGAGATATAGGTGAGCATTATTAAGGTGTTTAATATAAAAAAGAAACAACTGATCATCAGTCAGTAGTTTTAAATAGTTGTTCAGATAGAGTTAGACGATTATGTAAAGTACAAACTGAGCAATCATCTTGGATCTCATATAGAGTTTGATTCGTTGCATCATTCGTATGTGTGCGTTGTTGATTGTTGTAGGAGTAAGTTGAAAGAATGCTAGAGATGATTACATGCTTAGAGTCTACTTGGTTGCTATAACCAAAAGAGGGAGATATTGAATGAAATGGTTTAGAATAGTTTGAAATGATCCACGTGGATTTACACTTTATCTTAGATCTTGAGTTTCAAATATTAACTTACAATTTTTATTCTCATGGTTGAAATCATGAGTCAATTGAAGCTAGACCAACATGGAGAACCTGGAAGCACTGGACGGCCCCTTCGTCCTATTATGGGACTCCCCAGCAGTGCGCACCCACGATCTTGCCTCGCGAGCGAGATTCGAACCCAGGACCTACCAGTCTCGCACCAGAGCACTTAACCGATAGACCCCTTTTGAATCTTCATTCTATCAATACATTCATTATTCTCGGATCATTTTGTCTGTTCTTAATTGTTTCTACCACCACTGATATATATTTACTAATTCTGCTAATCTAGCACTTCTCTTGATAATTTCATCTTAGTATCCTGACAAGATATGGTCAATTGAACTGATCCACATAGATCTCAGGTATCACATGGATGATGACTGACTGATTACCTGACTGAGTATATCTAATATAGAAAAAAACACCCAACAAATCACATAATTATAAAAGTGGCTCAATGTTCAATATTTATTCACTTATTTAAATGCATGTCTGTTGCTGTCATTCATTCATTCAAGGCATTAGATAATTTACATAAAGGACAAAATGGTATTGGTGTTAGCATTCTACTGGATTCTAAACAAAATAACACGCCGATCGACGAATTACATAATCCAATACGTTCACTACCATCAAATGAAGCTTATACAAATTGGCAACGTGATAGAATTAAAGAAGCTGGTTTAATGGAACAAATTCTAAATCAAGGATGGTCATGGTATGTTGATTTATAATTGACATTTTGCAAAATATACTTCACTTCTATACTGTATTACAGGTGATGTAGGTTTGTTCTCTGAGCTGGATGGTTTGGTCGTGGATATTTCATCGTCCTTCTGAACGACATCATCAGCACAAACTTCGGGTAGAAGTGAAGTGTTTGAATTTCTCCACCATCTCAAAATTGTACGAGTGTATTACAGGTTTTAAAAGTTAATTATCTGGGGATATTTGACCATTAACAAATAGACTACACTATATATTTACCTCATCTTAGTCCAAAACTGTACAGTAGTGTTCATGTTTACAACGTTGGAAGAGATAAGCTCACAAATTTTACGATTCACTCTTATACTGAGTTTTCATCCAATGGTTTATATGTTCAACTTCAGTTAGTCTGTAACATTGTGAAGTCAATTTTAAGTTATCAAGCCTCAATGAATCATTTACTTACCTACTTACTTACGCCTGTTACCCCTCGTGGAGGAGCATAGGCCGCTCACCAGCATTCTCCATCCAACCCTAATGAATCATCTATATTCCTCCAATTATATGTTAAGGGGCCCCATACTGGGACAAAATCGCCGTCCTATGCTCCCGAGTTTTCAATGGTGGTCTAAGATTTGTCGTTTTACCATCTTATTCAGGAACTCAACAATCTCCACAACCAAATACGGACAGTAAATAAACAGCTGTTTATTCAAAATCGGAAACTGCTATTCACGGAAAGCTTCCGTGGATAAAACATGTGTTATCTACTAAGTAATAAAAATGGCAAATGAATGCTATTGCAAGTAAAAAATGAATTAAAGCACCAGGTAAAAATCCAAATGTTCCAGAATATTAGTTCATTGGAGTAGGGAAACCCCCAACATTACGAGTTCCAAAATGATCAATAATAATATAAACTACTGAATATTATCAAGTAGTACAGTGTGGTACTTAAAAAATGGGATGGGTAGGGAAGTAATGAATTTAAAGTACGAAACAGATTTAACGGGACTAAAATCAAAGTTTTAAGGAAAATTATAAAAACAAGATCAATGATGAATAAAATCCAGTGGATCAGTTTATCCTTGATTCTACGATGGGCTAAAACGACGCAAAACAAGCATTCCGTCACGACTAATTGTACCTATTCCTGGAACTACGATGGATAATTTATCAATAGACGGTTTAGGAACAATGAAATATTTGATGGGTTCATCTGATCATTCTATTAAATCGTCTATACAGTTCTTGGGGAAGATTAAGGATATTTAAAATAATAGCGATGAAATGATGATATCTTTCAACGTTTCGGTTTCAGTTTCAGTTTGGAAAGGACAGGAGGCTTGGTGGCCTGTGTTAGTCCTGGGTCTTGGTTACATATTGTGTAGATGGAGTCGAGTCTTGATGGACTACGATCACCACTACAATGAGATTATGCACTCAAAAACGACTTGGTTCCCTTGATAATTTGCAAACCAGAAGACTGTAATTAGTCCAGATAAAGTATATTTATTGGCGATCTCCTGGTATCGAAAGAATACCGAGACGTGTCAAAGATTACAGGCAATAAGGGCAAAGCGTAAGAAAGTTCGAACCAAACAAGGCTGACGACCGAACGAAAAGTGATTTTGATACAGTTAAACAACAACGAGTACAATAAAACAATCACTGATACAATTTTTTTAATAATAATAATTGTTTCCATTATACCGATCGTGTTCTCGTCGAGAAATGCAGGTCATTACAATTGATATAACGTAACAAGCAATCAAATATAGTCTCAGAATCATTCAAAAGAATGTCTATGTAAATCGACTTAAAAAGTATCAAAATGCAATGATGTTTGAATTAAGTAGCTACCTAATAACAATACAAATCGAGTTTCTGCTGATTGTCTTTTCGTTATTTATCGTTTCATTTTCAAATTTCCATATTTGACAGTGAATCTTTACTGACAGACGTCACTTGTCTAAACATTTTCAGTATCTGTTTGGCTCTATTTGTCACTTAGATCTTCGCATTGATATTGACGACTACAGTTGATCAGTCTTTTACTAGCACATGTGCATCCTGTATGGATTGCCTCGATAGTGCTTCAAGTCACAAGGGATCTAAGCATAGATAGATTGTGGGTAGCGATGGAATTCAGGACACGAATTTCGTCCTATTTGGGACTCACTAGCTGGTTGTACCTTCATCTCAGAGTTGGTGTTCACTCGGGGACTTGAAACTAACACCTATCGCTTTAAACCTCATCGTGTTGTCCACTTCTTGTCTATCGATAGAACAAATCCTGACCACTGTTTAGAAAAATGCTTTGAAAGAAGCCTAAAATGTGTTTACCACATCACAGTAACTATAACTCAACGCATTTTGAGACAGCCCGTATTTGCGCCAGTCCATGTACAACGATCCAAATATTCCGAGGAAAAAGATGAAGGTTGGACGTAAAATTCTGTTGCCGAATGATAAACAATAGCATACAAGAGTCTTGTGTGTATGAAGGTTACAGAAATGAACCACCTCTGAGCTACGATCTTGGATTGTCAAGGGTAAAAGACTTGTTCGGGACTTTCATGAAGTACTTCCCAACTGGTTTATAATATTACAGAATTGTATAAGTTATCATAACATTATTATGTGCATCATTTCTTTGTTATTCATTTTAGTAAAAGTGGTCTTACAAAGAAGTCGGATGGAATACAAACTTATCACAAACCGTCTAATTATTTCAATAATGACATTGATACAATTGATCATTCAGGTGCACAAATGGCTGAGATTTTAGGTGAGAAACTTCCTTCTTCTTTGCGACTGAAAGACGTTAATCTAAAAACTGCTCCTCGACGTGTTCCTCAATTAGCAGCAGCAAATGCCGCACGTGAAGGAGCAGGGATGGCTGAACGATTCGGTTTAATTCAGCCTAAACAGTCGTATCCTGGGGCGGATATGGATAAAATTGCAGAGGCAATATCAGAAGCCACATTTTCTCTAGATATGCAACAGCCTGGAAATGGGCCCCGCACCAAGTTTGAAGTATGTATTTAACAAAGCATTTCACAACTATGTATATTTATTATGTAAATACTTCGAAACATCTCACATACAACGTAAATTTATCCCGTTTATTGTCTTACTTTACTGTGACACTGATGAATGAGTCGGGTTAGTTATTTGGTGAACGCAATCGTTACCTCCAGTTTGAATATATGCCTTGTTGACGGTTACAAGATACCAGCAAGTTCATCTTTAAAGGTCTCTATCTATTTCTTTCACTCATCTATCATTTAGCTTAAGCTTTTTGGGAACAGGTTGTTTGACTGATGGATAGAAACTTATATATTCATTTACGATTAGCTGTATGATATAGTATCCGATATAGGTTGATATATGTATTAACGTATGACATAAATATTCAGAAGGGGTTTTGTGGAGATTTCAGTATTTTTCATAGTATTTTCATCAGTCGAGACTAGTAGGTCTTGGGTTCGAATCTCGCGAGTGCGGGATCGTGAATGTTCACTGCTGAGGAGTCCCATAATAAGACAAAACGGCCGTCCAGTACTTTCAGTTTTTCCATGGTGGTCTAGCTTCAATTGACTCATGATTTCAACTATGAAAAATACATATATATTCCTAATAAAAATATCTTTGTTTGAAGTATGTTGTACTTGTGTAAAGTCTCAGTATGACTATCATTACTGGGATTTATGTGCATTCAGACAAAAATTCCAAATATGTCTTAGATTCCTCTGCTAGCCACTACCTGAAACATATCGTAAGGTTCAATCTCTTGATCATATCGTCATATCCATTCAAATATCCCATGTCCCAACAAAGAATGATCATCTTCAATCCTGAAGATTAGCAACAATGAAACCTTTCAAGTAATAATAATAAAGCGTTACAAAACTTGATTGTGAAGTTAACTGCTTTTTTCTTTTACTCTGATCTATTTGTTTAGGGAATTGAATATGCTAAAAGAAATCGTGGAACATTGAATAATAGTAACTTGCACTCAATGAATCCTGAGTCCATACCAAAGCAAACTCCACGATTACGACCGGAAGCTCAAGAAATATATGAGTCGAATGACGGTCAAATGTGTAAATTACTTCTGACAAAGTAAGTGTTCTGATGATTATTTGGCGAGACTATATTTTATGGACGACCTTTGAACGAACCTAATATGACCTTGAGAAATGTTAGCCAATCAGTAAACAGTCAGCATAGAGTAAAAATTTATCATACAAAACCAAATAATGAAAGTGGTTATACACTTCTTTTATATGGTCCAAAAACTTATCAAGGTTAGAAAAAGGTTCAAAGGTCCCAAAATCGTAATGCATAAGGTAGAGGAACTCATCCATATGGCTCCATAATAGTTGGTCTCTGGAGCCATGATAAGGACACAAATATGATTACGGTTGTAAATAACTAGATACTGAGAACATCATCTTAACATCAGGTGATTGGAGACAGACATTGGGAATCCCTGAAAATAGGCTTCATGATATTTGAATGTCTATAACTCCGAAGGAATAAGTGTCCCATGTATAATCCAAACTTACGTCGCTTACTGTCAAATTCACTGACGTTCTCAATGTGCTAGGTGGGTTTACAAATAACCTTTGGTAGAACTGAGGTATTCATATTGATTGATCAATAATGTCATAGTTGTCAGAAGGGGGTTTTGTGGAGATTTTTGTAATTTTATAGATGAGATCATGAGCCAATTGAAGCTAGACCATCATGGAAAACCTGGAAGCACTGGACGGCCGTTTCGTCCTGTTGTGGGACTCCTCAGCAGTGCTCATCATAGTGTTGATCAAATTTTAGTCGTAAGAATGCAACCGTAACTAAATATGTATTGCGAACTATTATTAACTGAAAATTGATTTAATTATCACCTTGAATTCTTCATATCTAAACACTTCATTAAAACTTATACTTCAGTAATCAGTCATCTGGCTAAATACAGCCTGTCAACTAAAAATAACGTGATTTTGACGGATTTTTGTTCTCTGAGCTGGATGGTTTGATCGTGGAGCTTTCATTGTCCTTCTGAACAATATCATCAGCACAAACTTCGGGTAGAAGTGAAGTGTTCGAATTTCTCCACATGTGTTTCACAGCTTGTCCTGTGCACATCGATGTTGATTGGTTCTTATTGACCTTAAATCTATCATTGTTTATTTCTTTGTTTTGGTTATATCTCCTAATGGTTTGATTTTCGCTCCTATGTTTCTGTATAATATTCCTGATTGGTTGATAAATTGGATTGATTTCCATGTGTTTGTTTATTGCTGATTGACCTGAGTGCCAAGCTTCTAAAAATTCTCTGGTATTTTTGGAATTGCCGCTATCCAAAATCTGCTTATTTTTCCAGTTGAATATGTGTTCGTAGTTGTCCACATGCATTGATATAAGTGATGACATGTCATAGCGTTTGACTGCTAATTGATGTTCATGCAGGTGAAGATGAAGAGGGCGTCCGCTTTGTCTGATGTACTGTCTGTCGCAGTTGGCTTGGTGAATAATCATATTTATTATGTTTCCATCTCGATCGAAATTCTTCCAACATGCTTTTTTCATTGTTTACCTTATTAACAGTGATAAATTAAAGCAACAAATACAATGGAATCCTAAATTTTATCCGAATACTAATGATATAATCAGAAGATCACGCGGTGGAGCAGCTAAAGATTGTCTAAATCCGCATAAAACCAAATGGTGTAGAAAAATACGAATGACACGAACATCATCAATGCGAAGGAAACATCTAAATCATTAAAACAAGATTGTATCTTTCATTTGAAATGCTTATTAATATCAATGTACAATGATTTATTAAAAAAGTCGTGATATTTTGGTTACAAATTGATATCTGTTAGATAGTTATTTGCCTCTTTATAGTTTTTATTTTAAGCTTTCTGAAGTGCCTATCCACTGACCTGGATAAGAAGATGAAATCTAAATTCAAATCTCTCATCCGTCATGATACTATCAGATGATTAGATCTGTATCGCCCTCAAATGTCTTGGTACGGTCAAGAGTAGAGAGAGTCCGCTCACTCTTTCTCTCTCTCGAAATGCTCTCACATGACCACGCGTATATAGCCTCTGTCAGAGAAGTCCTACTCACTGCCTTCTCGTGACAGGGGTGTTGTTTACGAAATTGAGAGGAAAAAAAGCTCATTTCCGATGCTTTAAATGGGTTGGTGGACACGGAAAGTCCACGTAGGGGAGTTGGAAAACTCTGATCCCAAACTAATGGTTCACATGGGCTCCAATATCCTGAGGGAACAAATGGCATATGAATCGATCGTTGGTCACCGGCTACCATGGGACTGTATCCCCTCGCTATGCTCCACTGCCTTGTGGATCAGATCTTTAGGTCGAATGCTCTGGGTGTAGCCCCCTAAGAAAACCACCTGCTTCGGTTTGGTTACCTCGACAGTAACAAAATTTTCATTCAATAATACCATTGATAGTCTGTCTTATTTCAGAATTTTTTAACTGCATAGATTACAGCTTCTCATTAGGAAATCAGAATATATTTTCCGACATTAATCTTTAATGAAAATACAGTAATTCTTGTTATGGGAAATAATTTATGAAACGAATTATATTATTATAAGCAAAGATGAATAGCGGCTAGCAGTGGAATCCAGTTTGACGCGCGTTTCGTCCCATTTGAGACTCGTCAGCAGGATGTACCTGCATCTCAGAGTTGATGTTCACTCTGGGATTCGAACCCAGTACCTTTCGCTTCAAGCACTATCGCAAAAGGCCATCAGGACTGAAAATATTCTATTTTCTTACTAAAATGTTTCCACCGTTTTTGCTATTGATCTACAATGTGTGTCTTTTGTGTGAAGGCAAATACGAATATTGATCATATTACAAGCTAGCCTATAGTTACCTCGAGTTCCATTGTCTTTGGAATGTCATTTTCAGGTTTATAAGATACTCTTAGCTAAAGTATTGGCGTTTATATGCATCATATTTCGAAACGACGCAAGAATCTTGTGCTGTTCCTTTGTACTATTTAAACATGGATTAATTTTCATCTGGTTATTTATTCACTGAAGAAGTGACTTACATTGAGTCACGAAACGTCCGAAAATTTAATTTCTCTACTCATTGGGATATTAGAAATATATCAGTTTTATTTATAACAATCTACTCAATGCTCAGTTGATTGGAAATAATCAAGTCAAACCTTGGTAATGATACCGAAAACCGCTGTTTTGTTTTAGCACCCTTTGTAAACGTTATTGAGTGTGTTGCAACATAATAATCCACTACAGGTTAGTTCGGTGAATTCACCAATGAAGTAAAGTGTTTTACTATGTACCTTGTCAAACATTCATTGTCTTTTGTTCTCAATTAAGTTCAGTTGGTATTGGTCTCTGATGGTGAATTTACTAGTTTAACTAACTTAACTAGGTGAATTAGTGCAGTCAACCTTACTTACTCACTTGCGCCTGTTCTTTTGACCTTCAGGATTCCATGTGAGGGCTTGTCTTGTAAAATATTTGAGTGCTTTCCTCAATGTGTTTCCTGTCCGATTCCAGCTCTTCTTCCTGATTTCTTCCTCCACTCGAATCTGGTTTGTCCTCTCTCACAGTAGCTTGTTGCTGATAGTGTCTGATTAATGGATCCGAAGTATTTTGCATAGACAACCTCCCGTAGGATTTTTATTAACACATTCAATTCTCTTCCCTTAAGTTCTATAGGTAGATTAGCAGTCTCATAATGGTGTACCTTAAATATAACTTTTCTAGATTACTTATTTTCACTTTCTAAATTTTCTACTGATTTGGCGAAAATGATTTGAGAAAGATATTTGAAGGAGATAGGTGTCAACATTCTCAGATTCTACCATGTCAATTCATCTTTAATAATCCTAGATACTACTCTTAGAGGTTCAAGTATCCATCTAATATTTGCTAAAAAATAAGAAATACAAACTTGATTTCGAGTTAGTTTGTAGATGTTTGAAGGCTTACATTTCCTTATGTGAGACATAAACACCTATGGAAGAAAATTTAGACGGATAGAATATTTTTATGCGAATCTTTACGTCTAGTAATAATACTTGATTTCGGAGGCAAACATAACTGTGTCATAGTTGTCGCTTTTGATATACTGACAGTCAACAACACTATCCGTTAGCATATCTATCAATTGTTGGGACCAGGATAAACGAACGATAACACAGGAAACAATCACTTTGTGGATGATTGCCAGCTAAAAACAACCAAAAAACAACAATACCTGAGATTTCATGCAACGTTTATACGGTAATGACAATAATAATAAAGAAAGTTTCGTTTATGATTGATATGCTTTTATTGTCTTCTGATTCAACCAAAAGAGATGTATATACCAGTCAGTGGGTTACAACGCATACGAAAATAACCAAAATAGATGTCTAAGTGTCAGAAAACCTAATTTCAGTACGAGCAGGCAAAATTCAATAGTTCCAACACTCCGATATCTTTGACGACGATAGTTAGGAAAAAACAGTGACAACAGACCTGCGAATAACCTACTCACAGACGTAGGCAGTATGAGTATTAAAAGAATTCTCCTTTAACTTTATAACAATTGTATGGATTCAGAAAAGTAGTTCGTAGACGATGTTATAAGGAGGTGGTTAACTCATTTATTAACTATTACGTTTGATAGTAACATAGAAAAGTTCCCTTTTAGAATCAAACATACACATTATTGGGTGAAACTCAGAGTATCAGGTCATTGAGTTGTCTAACTCATACGTGATGGAGTATAAATAATAGTATTATCGAGTGATTCGTTAAAAGTATAGCTTGATTTCTACTTTGTAATCATGGGAATTTCCACTTATCACTCCTCTTCTTGTAGTCATCTGCGGTATCCGAAGGCAAACTGTATTCAATATATTCTGGAATTACCTTTGTGTTGTAAACATAATGGAACATTTTGGTTACTATGTGGTCAACATGTCGAACATTTTTAGCTCCTTTGTGCTGAATAGTTTAGTTATATGCGCTCAGAGTAAAACTCTATCGTTGATATATAGCAGCTGAGGAATGTAGCCATAATTTTTGAGGGTGATGAATAGACTTTAAGACTTGGTGAAGCAAATTGCTGGTCTACTTTCCTGCTTCAAAAGTCCACTAGCACTCACAAGTGTTGCACCAGTAATAGGTATAGGATGTATACTTTGGGGATGAAATGAAACAACAGTGTATGTCCACTGAAATGTCACTGATCCTCAGCCAAATCATACGGCAGCTGAGCCGCTCAATGTCGAGTAGTCCATCGACCTCCATCAAGGCCAAGGTCAAACAATGCGCATCAGTTAATCATGCGCCATGGACTGGCCCACGCAGTGGTGGTCTCACTAACTTCTCTGTTCTCGTTCATACTAATATATTTACGTAATAACGTTCTTTGTGTTATACGGTCTTCAAAGTAGCTATAGTACTTTGTTACGCTGTAGGGGTATTCCACTTTAGATGCTGACCACGAGGTGTGACTTCGAAGTTATATGGTTGTGATGTTTATATGAACCAATGATTCTTTTGTATTGTTGACCGCCTGATTTGAAATTCAAATACAATATATTCGTTGGTGTTCATCTAATACTTCTTGATTAAATTGCGTTGTTTCTGAGGGTACTAGTTTATACTATAATTCAAATACTCTTAAATATCATAATGGTTCGTCACACCATCTCGTTTAACTCAAGTAGGCTCCAAATTATTCTACGTAGATTGTCAACGTTAACTATCTACAGCACCATCACCTTGAAGAAACTTAACATGACTTTGTGATCAAGACTCTTGGTCTGGGCCTCATTTAAATGAAGCGGATTTCAAGATCTGAAGTAGGGGATGAGCCTGAGAAAAAAATTAGGAATCAAACAGGAGTGATACTAGAGGACACTTGTTAATGAACTGTAATGAACAGCAAATGTGCTTACTGTGCAGCTAAACATTGTATGTTGCGTTTAAACCCATCACAATGTTACAGTACAGTCTCATATTGCGTACTTGGAATTAGAGTTCTTCAGTGTGTCATGTTGAAGTTCTAGACTTATTGGGATTAGTTCTATTTCGCTATATTATTTCAGATTCACATGAGCGAAGTTTTGTAAGATTCTTCAGAAATACTACATTTATTGTGACATGTATATTCAGTGATTTGTTTTGTAAAGACACAATAAAGGTCACATATTTTTACTATTTGTCACACTTTATATGTAACCACATTATTCAATATCTATCGTTTCTCTGTATCAATGGTCAAGAAGCATATATAATTGTCTGGTTAAATCTAGTATATAATACAATACCACGATTCTTAAAATATATTCGTGTAACACATGTTGCCGTTTTAAGTCGCCTAAACAAACACCTCGTGAACCGTTGACTCCGATGATGACAACAGGACCACACGAGTGGGTTGGCATGAACACCATGAGAAAATTGACAACGACAAAAAGGGGAATCGCTGCATACTGGTTATCATGGATTATTTCAATAAATAATGTGAAGCAGTACCTATTCCGCAGCAAGACGCTCTGACAGTTGCCCGAGCGTTCATCAATCATTCGATTTTCCGTTGTGGTGCCCCGTTATCACTTCATTCTGGAAAATCCAGCCTTTGAAATTCATCTCATCTCTGAGATATGCCAGCTATTAGGAATCAGGAAGACATTCTACTGCTTATCACTCAGGAGGTAATGGGCTTGTGGAAAGAACAAATAGAACTGTCAAAGCAATGTTGCAATCGTTCGTCAGAAGATCATCGCCGGAATTATGAGATGATGTGCTCCCTCAGTGTCTTTTAGCTTGTAGTAACCTGCTTTTCACGACGAGGGCACGATTGGTATAATAGAAACAATTATTATTATAACCAATCGTACCGGTTTTACTGTACTTGTTTGTTTAACTGTACCAAAAGCACTTTTCGTTCCGTTGTCCATCTTGTTTGTGCGAACTCTCTTACGATCTGCCACTTTGCCTGTATTCTTTGACACGTCCCGGTATTCTTTCAATACCACGAGATCACCAATAAATATATCGTATCTGGACCAATATCAGCCTTCTGGTTTTCGGAATATCGACAGATCCAAGTCGTGATCTGGCACGAATTCTTATCGTAGTGGTGATCATAGTCAATCGCGACTCGACGTAATCTACAAGCTCATCGTACATCGGTACAAGGGCCCACGGGGGCGATCCTAAAATTTTTTTACAATAGATGTGACAATCACAGGAAAACATTAAGAAGCATTTTATCTAATTAGCGTTCACTAGAAGTTATACTACTACTACTACTACATTAACTACGAGAATTTGCCAAAATGGTTACTTCAATTAGTGGTAACCAGAGTAACAACGCTACAAAAATAACGAAAAAAAATAGTGACTGCCAGTACACGCGTAGTTGTACAGATATGCATCCGAAAACATTTAACTAGTCAAAGCTCAGGTAACAAACGTGCCAAATATATACTTCAAAATACCAAATTTCAAAAATATCTAATCATCTGGTATGATAAACGCAACAGAATTCAAACATCTTAAAACAGAAAAATTTACTTGTTCAAAATCACGCGGATAACTGTACTGATAGATGGACCTTCTCACCTCGATGGAAACTGCCAAAACAATGTGGCCGATGCCACTAAGTTGCGAGACACTCCACAAAAATACTTTCACAGTATGACATAATTCTGTGAAATCATTCTGGGTCGTTTGAGGTTTTTCTTTGACTGAAAAATCTCGACATTAGGGGCCTTCGTGATTTCCAGGATGCAATAAGCAAATGCAGCCAGCTCGTTTTTGGCATTGTTTTGGAATGAAACAAGTACTGCTTGGACCTGTTGAGGAAGTTAAGACAATAAACGTTGTATGAATAAGCCATTGTCGAAAGTTTTATGGCCGATAACCTCTCTCATTCTCAGCAGCATATCTGTCCCAGATCTATGTCGCAGGTCGATATCATTGAGGAGTTGGTCTAAACTTTGCGGATCGGTTAGATCTCTGCGTTTCAGATTGGATCGTTTTAGAGTTTCGTAAGATTCCGAAACATCACTAGTGAACATACTAAGTATGACGTACCTATTGAATTTGCACAGCAGTGCCTTTACAACCGCGAGAAATTGTGCGCGCGGTTCAGTCATGCCGTGCTCGTAGAAGTTGGCTTCTACATAGCAGAACCAGGCTTCGATGTTGTCTGGCCAGAATGGCATCAGTTGAAACGAAGATGGGGACATAGTCCATAACCTCAGTAATTTAGGTGTCTGTTCCGTCATTGCGAAAAACCAAGTAAGAGAATAAGTGGTATAAAAATACCACAATATATAGAGGTTAAAATAAAGCAATGATTTATGAAAAAGAACAGACTCACAGTTATAGGTTGGTGTACCAGATCACTTTAGTCTCGCCAATAATGATGTCACAGGCATTGTAGTTTGACAACACTTTACTAGTAATAACTTCTATAACTGAATCGCGCCCATTCAGTGAAATCAAAAGTCAGAAGCGGGGAGATTGGAAGATGAATTTGATAGGTTATCAATATATCGAGGAGTGACTGATCTAAAATGTCTAGTGATAGCAGCAGAAGTTGAACACACCCTACATAGCAGAACAGACTGCAGACACAACTTTTACTCCGTTAGAGTTGTCAATGCTGGAATTCGCTGCCAACTGATCTAGTCCAAGCGACCTCCCAGGAGTCCTTTAAGAGAGAACTTGACTTATTCTTAAAGACTAAGTATAACATATTATTATGATTTACCAAATTCTTTTTTTCCCTCTATTATCGTCCATATACCTAGGTTTTTGCCTGGAGGTATTAGTGATCCACTGCTACCAGACAAGGAAGCCCGTTAAGTGAAAGCTTCTTCTATTCCGTCCTCAACCATTTGATTCGCATAATTGATTCAATGGTTCAAATGGTTGAGGACGGAATAGAAGAAGCTTTCGCTTAACGGACTTCCTTGTCTGGTAGCAGTGGATCACTAATACCTCCAGGCAAAAACCTAGGTATATGGACGATAATAGAGGAAAGAAAAGAATTTGGTAAATCATAATAATATGTTATCTTTAGTCCTTAAGTATAAGTCAAGTTCTCTCTTAAAGGACTCCTGGGAGGTCGCTTGGACTAGATCAGTTGGCAGCGAATTCCAGCATTGACAAATCTAACGGAGTAAGAGTTGTGTCTGCAGTCTGTTCTGCTATGTAGGGTCTCCAATTTCTGGGTTACCTCTCCGGTTAGTGTTATGACTAAGCGTAAGAAGATGTTTAAGGGGATGACCAGAAGTATTAAGGATACTGTAAGTCATAAGATTAACAGTGGGGCTTACAGAATGAATATTAAACAGTGCTCAAGCATACATAATAAAGGTACGACAGTATAGATAAGTTCTTGTTGTTGTTAACAAAAAGGCTCGGCGAAATTAGATAAGAAAAAACTTAATTGTACATGAGCTGCTACAATGGTTAAACGGAATACGAAATACTTTTTTGTAGTTGGCAGATTTTCTAAAAACTTCGATAACAATTAATTTTTTCTGAAAAGTTCATTACATAACAAACAGTCTACTAGTCCAGTCCAGAAAACATTGGATATTAGATGGAATTCAACATGCCGGCTTTTCAAAGTGGTGCGTAACTGGAGATGAAGGTTGTATGAAAAGTAGTCTGCCCTTATTTTTGCCAGTCTGTACCCAAAAATAGTCATTTAAGTTTTGAAAACTGCCCTTTTAGTTTTGATATTGGTTTGTTTCTGGCGTTATGTTGTATTTTGTTTTCTGAGTACTCATAATAAACTGTCACTATTATACATCTTCAGGTTTTAAATTTGTTGTATTATAAGTTCGCTTGTTTTGAATCGAATTTGAAATCGAGGTCAAAAGTGTAGTTTCAAAGAGCTTTGTAGTAGTTTTTAATGTTTTTTCCGGTTAATAACCTGTATCTGAATGCAGATGTGTGAATGATATAAATATATTATACTGGCTACTTTAAATGACTTATTAGCCAATCAAAAATAAGTTTTCAAGTTATAATATCAATGAAGAGCTAAAGTATCTCGTTGAACGGTTGTTTCGAAACAATTCATTAGTACTTTGTCTTTATTAGCAAAGATGGTTGGGTGATCAATGTGCTGTAATCCTTGCAGCTTGTTTTTTAATGAAGGTCCAGTTTCTCCTTATTAACGTTAGATAGTGGCTCTGATACTAGTTGTTTGGGTAGGGCGTCTCAGTCACTGACTCGGTGAGAAAAACGGAACCCCTCTCTGAGTTTATTAGTTCTCAGTTTTCGAACCTTTCTTCTCTGGCTTCGAAGATTATCGATGCTGGGAGAAGCAAAAAGATAATGTATATGTCAGCTTTTAAACGTTGAACAATTCGTTAAGGTGAAATAAAAAGGTTCATTACACTTATTGGAGATCAGGCTTGTGCTGTGAGTTAGGGTTTTATCCCTGTAGGTTTTTTTGTTACAAACTGATATCAGCTATTACTCATCAAAACTTTAACACTTGTTTATAAACTTCGAAAATTTAGTTATGTAACTTAGGGCTGCAACAGTATTGGAAAATATTACCTTATTGCACAATTGCCCCAGACTGCGGATTTAATGGTGAGACTATAATTTACGGGTGACCTTTCAGCGACGCTTAAGTGGCTTTGTGAATATTTACTTTACTGGCGTCAAAAGATGATTATAAGTTAATGCGAGGAATTGGGATTGGCACTTAGATCGGGAATTTAGGGTTGAGAATTAAGTAAAGGGTTTTTTTCATCGCAAACTGAGGTAAACTATAATGCCGGAATTCTATTTAAACATATAGGTGTATAAATTTCGCGGCGAAATCCAAAACTTGCTATCCTTAATTTTATTGGTTCATCGATAAATTATAGTCTTGCCCATTTAATCATATCAAGTACTCTAACACAATCTGTATCATGAGCAAGTATTTCTTGTTGTTTGGCTTAAGCACAATCTCATACCATTTAGTCAAACAATAGGTATTTTTATCAATTTCAAATATTGTAGGATTCAAACATTGGTATCTATTTAATTAGTTCATTATGTCACACAAGCCATCTTTCATCGCGCGTTCAATTTCACGCGAAATCCTATGGAATGCTATGTTAATTCTAATGCTCCTCCTCTAGCCCATTAGTATAATGCACTTTTATTACTTGAAGAAAATTTTCAAGTAATAGTTGCGAAAATCATATACGTACTCTACAAAAGTCAACCCTGTTAAGTTTGTTACTAAAGACAGACTTGCTCTGAATAATTATAATTTCCAAAAGGACTAATTTTACTTTTTCACTGACTCCTGAAATTTGTGCTAATGTTGTTCAGAAGAACGATGAAAGCTTCCCGACCAAACCACCCGGCTCAGATTACAAAACTCCACCAAAAAAATTGTAAAAGTTATGTTTAATCATGAGATAAAAACTTTGTTTAAACAAATTTTCTTGGGCTAATGATGTTCTTTCTAATATCTGTGTATTTTTTAGGATGTCAAGCCCTATCCAGTTGATCCATCTTATTCTGACCCGCCAGTTATCGAGACAGACTATTCAACATGGGGAATAGTCAAAGCTGTTCAGTATGGAATTATAAAACGAGTTATCGAGCTGGTAGAGCCACCAGATTCACAACTGGTGGGTTACGATGTCAACCAACTAGATGATGAGGATGTCTCACTATTACACTGGGCTGCCATAAACAACCGTTTAGCCATTGCTCATTATCTTCTATCGAAAGGTGCGATAATAGATAGACCAGGTGGTCATCTTGCTGCAACCCCACTGCACTGGGCTATTAGGCAATCACACTTAAGTATGGTACACTTCCTTATGCAGAGGGGCGCTGATCCAATGTTTATGGATAACACTGGACTAGGATGTTTTCATGTTGCAATACAAATGGGAAATATTCCAATTATCGTTTATTTGCTTTCTCATGGGGTCAATGTTGATACGTAAGTACATTTGCACGCGTATTTTTGATTACCAGATTATATTTGTTTGTAATATACAATTACTTCAGACTCGTATTAGTTATTTCAACACAGTATTATTAATCTTGTCGTGTACGTATTTGGTGTGGGGACTTCAGCTAACATACGTTTGTGCAAGGCTTTAGGCTGATGGGTTTGTTTCTTCTCCAGCTTTTAAATGCTAAGTTTTATGTATGTCTAATGATTAATATATATTTAATATTAGATTAGTTCCCATGATGATAATTTTATTTGTGTCTCAATTGATAGAAATAAACTTGCATGTCCGTATTCCAACAATTTCACTACCAGACTTTGAACCGTTCATGTATTGTGTTAAGATCCAGTTTTATCTAGATTTTGGATCTGTATAGTATTTTCATGACACTATACATATGGCTTAAAACCTAGTACTTGTATAAGCCTTGTATATGGTTACTAGAAGTTACATGAAAATAATAATATCAATAAAGGTAACCGACTGCTCTGGTACGGCCAAGAGTGGGGAGGGGCCACCCTCCCTCTCGAAATGCTCTCACACGGCCATACGTATACAGCCTCTCTCAGGGAAGTCCTACTCACTGCCTTCTCATGGCCGGGGTGTTGTTTACGAAATTAAGAGGACGGAAAACGAATGAGTCAATTGAAGCTAGACCACCATGGAAAAACTGGAAGCAGTGGACGGCCGTTTCGTCCTATTGTGAAACTCCTCAGTAGGGCGCATCCACGATCCTGCCTCGCGAGATTCGAACACTGGACCCACCATTGACTCATGATCTCAACTATATAAAATTACTAAATCTCCACGAAACCGCCTTATGAAAAGCGAATGTCCGGCGCTTTAACCGGGTTGGTGGACACGGAAAGTTCATCCAGGGGAGTTGGAAAACCGTGATTCCAAACCAATGGTGCACATGGGCTCAAGTATCCTGAGGGAACAAATGGCGTATGAACCAATCTCTGGTCACCGACCACCATGGGACTGCATCTCCTCACGATGCTCCAGTTTCAGTTAGTGACTGAAAATGTTGGGTACATTTGATCACAAACGGTATAACTAACTATTTAGTGTTCAGTCACCCAAAATGTCCTGTTTTTAAGGCTTTTTTAAAATCATATACAGTATTTTTTGATTGTGGTAATAATTATGGCTTTTCAACATTTTAGTCGAGATGGCAATGGTCTCACTCCATTAATGATAGCTTGTATGCATGTACGATCAGTTGATATATTTCGTCTGTTAATCTCATATGGTGCGAATTTGCGATTAACTGATTCACATGGCAACACTGTAGCACATTATTCTGTTCAGTTTGCTAATTTTCAAGCCGTTGTACAATTAGACAAAGGTGATATTGACTGGAATGCACTAAATGATGAAAGCAAAACGCCGTATGAGGTAACGTTTTTTTTATTAGTATATACAAATCTTTTTAAATCCCTTGATTTCAGTAATCGATGTTGAACTTTATGAGAAACCGTGGGAGATTGAAACAATGACTTTGTAGCCATGATTGAACAGTTCTGTTTAGAAAGCGCAGCATAAACCAAATAGTAGAATTTTATGTATTCAACGTCTTTAATTAAAATTCATTGTTAAGTAGCATGATGTGCTGACTAACTGACTGATGTGCATCAATTTCAGTTCATAAAGTTATTCTGCCTACACGAAATTAAATGCTTCAATTTGAATCCGAAGCAACAAAATTTTGATCTGTTAGTCGAATAGTTGGTCAACCTAGATCAGTAAAGCTTGACCACTTTATCATGAAGCAGTTTCACTCGATTTAGTTGATAATTATGTTTAGGTGTCTTAAAAATGACTAGGGATTTTCATTGTACCGACTTCCAAACTTAACATTCCAGTTCAAATGCCCTGAAGGCTAACAGATAATCCAGAATGTTTCTGTTCGGTAGATTCCAAAAATGTGGAGAGATTGAATGTAAGTAAAGATGTATGCGAGTAAACTGATGTGGAATTTTCCACTGAGAAATATCTCGTAGATCATATTGGTAAGATTCGAAACGGGGTCAGTCTTTCCCAACAGAGAATGGTCATCTAATTAAACTACTGATTTACAATAACCAACTTTTGTTCAGAGCGTAGTTTTGTTATTGTTAAAGTTTGGAATTCTTAACTTACTTCATTTCAATAGACTAAATGTGTTATTGTGAAAGTTCCCAGACTCTTCAGTGTTACGCTTGCTATGACTATTAGACAAGTCAATATCTAGAGTTGCTTAAGTAATTATATAGATTATCTTAATTTTTTGGTGTGATGTATCAAGTTCTTTAGTGCATGTTACTTTTTAATAATCTGTATCATAATTAACTCACAGAAGACTGCATTATGAGTACAAATAAGCATATAGAATGAGAAAAATAGATGTATATAACTTGCTAAGTTTAGACGATTCATGTACTCAGATTTTGGGCCGTTTATTTCGTACCAACGCTGGCGATGCCATCCAACTTCTGAGGCAGAGTCTAAAGCTTCGATCAATTGATAGATTAAAATCGAATGTGTTAGACACTAATCCACCGTCCAACATCCTTTGTTAATAAGAGACAATACAATGAACAGAAATCTGTCCAAGTATTCTTATCAGTATCTACAATAATCCATTTAATCTAAAAAACCTCAATAGTGTTGAATACTCAATGAATGTTATAGTTTTTAAGTTATTCTATGCGGAATCTCAACATTGTGTCAATTGTTCTAGTATTATGAAATTTGTGTAACTTATGTTCGTACTCTAAGATGTTTTTATTTGCTAAACTGGTGAACTTGTTACCATTTTATACTATCAACTTTCATAACTCTATCTGTCTATAACTATTTCAAGGTTCGTGTAGTCCCATGGTTAACAGATCGTGTCAAACAAATGGCTACTGTACAGAGCATGATGAATTCATCGCACCGTTTCTCTCGTTTAGGCTTATCTATGCTACATTATTCACCTGTATGGCGTCAACGAATAACAATTATGCTTCCACCATTAATTCTTATTACTTGCGGTCTGCTTATAAATTGGGATATACCATCCACATTATATCATTTAAATTTTATCAATCAATCGTCAAAAATTTCATCATGGATAATATATTCCACTAAATTTCTTTTATTAATATTATTATCATTCATAGCACGTTTTATTATTGATCGATTCTCAGATCATAAGTCACAGGTGAGTTATGAAGATGAGATCAGGGGATGATGATAACATGAACATTTTGATTCATTATTACGTCTTCTTTCAATACTCCTATATATTTGTGGGTGTTTTTATTATATCCTTATAAAATATTTCCCCATGGGTCAATGGTGGTGCTGGGTCTGACGCTTGTTCTGGTTCGGACTCGTTAACACGGCTTATTTGCAATACTAAGAGAATTACGCCCCCTTCCCCACATTAGATTTCCACTGATATCATTCAGCTTCAAGCTGTGATTTTGAGTGTGACAGTCAAACACTAATCGTTAACTTTAGTACACAGGTTTGTGCACGTATTAATTTGTGTTATTATTTCACCTGTTATGTGAAAGGTTATTCGTGGATACACTGTGGCTCACATCAGTGTTGACTAGAGTTGTATTATATTGCCGGACGAAGCGTTTGGTTTACTATAAATCCGATCGCTGAGACTTTACAAATATATTCTTCCACCTTGACGATTAAGTCATAATCTAGAAATATTTTTTTGGTGCAAACTTAATACACGTGATGCTTAGGAAATGGAGTTTATGTGATGTGATTCTATGATGACTAGTATTGGGGATGGTTGGAAGAGAGTTAGCGGTGACCAAACCAAAACATGGCATCAGTGCTTGAAGTCACTAACTTCTAGCCTGAGCCATGTTGGCAGATGCAGACTACCTGGTTGGGGTCCGCGTGACTATCGTAACCAATGGTTGGAGACTCTAGGTGATATGGCTCAGAATCGATCACAATTGCGTAGGTGTATACACTCTTTATCTTTCATTAAACCGTGAGATTAAAATTGCTTCATAACTTTCTTCCTTCCTGTACTATATCCCTATATGCAACCTATAATTTATATACTACCACCACTAAATTAATTACTTCTATGAATCCGGTGTTCATCTTGTTGTGCTAACGAGGTATGGCAACTTGGACCGATGCATATATGTGCCTGGTCCTACGTTGTAGCTGACTGATGTGATTCTAGATTGGGTCCAGAGAAATCTTTTCCTATATCCATTGTATTAAGCTCTATAAGATATGTTATTCTGTTTACTGAGCTTATTTCTTATTAAACTCACCCTAAAAGTTAAATTTGGAACTAACAACAGAAGTAGATAGAGGTGAATGAAAACATTTTGACAGTCTAATCTCCAAAGCTAACCACCAACATCCTTGGCACCACCGGATCATGAAAAAACGGTAATCTGCTGGCTAAGGCACCTGTTTTTCACTCATCATTATTTCAAGTTCTAATCTCTTCTACTTTGTTTTAAGCAACATAATCGTATCACTAACCATCACACCGAATATATATGACTTAGGTCGAGTGCATTAACGTACACATGGCAGATCGGTTACATTATCATTCATATCTTAGATACTTGATTTTCACCCAATAGTCTCTCATTTATTTATTTCAACACATACATATTGGTACAAAGGAGCATCGGATGTATATGCGCCAAACAAAACAGTGAGAATGAGAAGAGAAAGGGGTAAGATGAATATATATAAAAGAAAAAAAATGGAATGAATAAAAAGAAGAGTAATGATGGAGGGAACTAAAATGTACAACCAGAAGACTCAGTTAAGAAAGTTATAACCACTCTTGGTACAAAAGGGTACCAGATATATATGCGCCACACAAAATGATGAAAGTAGGAAGAGGAGGGATGAAAAGATAAGGCGGACTGGAATGTACAACCGGAAGACTCTTTCAGTTAAGAAAGAACCACTCTTTATGAAGAAAGTAAAAGGTTACAGCATGATCACCACTGGCTTCTATTCTGAGCCATATCTGATAACGTCTCTAGCCACTGTGTTGCACCATCTCTCGGACCCCAACCAGGGAGTCGTGAGGGACCAACAGAAGCCAGCCCTTTTCAGCTTCCTTTCATGTCACGACACCATGTCATACACTGACCACCTCTCCACTTTTTCCAACCAGTCCCACCGCCAGCAAATAATGCGCGGCGAGGAATTCTCTGGGACGACATTCGTAGAATATATCCAAGTCACCGAAGTCGTTGTTTCAAGATGGTGACACCAATTGAATTGACGTCTCTGCGCCCGAACACACGATGCCGAACCTTTGTATTACTAACATGGTGTTGCCACTGGATGTCAGCAATGCTTCGGAGACAACGATGATCGAACACAGAGAGTCGTCTAACATCCTCAACTCGGAGAGGCCAGGTTTCACAAACATAGAGCAAAACTGCTGTCACCGACGCGTTGTAGATCCGACCTTTTACAGCCATTTTCTAGGTTTATCTACCACTTTATCTGCTCTGGTTTGACCGACTTGCTCGTATTACTAGCTAGCGCACACAAAACAATATCACCAAAGGTTGGGTTTACGAATTTTGACCACGTAAATGATTCATAATTCATTTTGCCAATGTTTTCTTGAATGTCTAAAATTAATTCTTTGTTACATATAATATATTAATATTCATTTAGTATTGTTTGTTTGAATCTTCACATCGATGTGTTAGGACTGCAACTGGTCAGTCTCTAATTGGCATATGTGCATACTGTGCATATTGCCTCGATATAACCTTAATTCACAAGCATGGTAAGCAAAGATGGATAGTGGCTAACAGTGGAATCCAGTTTGACACGCATTTCGTCCTATTTGGGACTCATCAGCTGGATGTACCTGCATCTCAGAGTTGATGTTCATTCTGGGACTCGAACCCAATACTTTTCGCTTCAAAATGGCTATCAGGACTCAGTGGTCGAGTGGATAACGCGATGGCATTTAAAGCAAACGGTACTGGATTCGAGTCCCAGAGTGAACATCAACTCTAAGATGCAGGTACATCCAGCTGACGAGTCCCGAATAGGACGTAACGCGTGTCCTGGATTCCACTGCTAGCTTAATATATTTATCTTAACTTAATATATTAACAGTTTCTTTATGTATATATCATAGTATGTGTTTATTTTCATTTTCTTTTCTTTTTTTTTTAAAAAAAATCAAATAAGGCTGTAATGTTATTCAGTTTAGCAACAAGTACAACATTGTTATTAACTATAACATATTTATTTCATATTACATTACATACACCAAATTATTGGATATTACATTTTTGGTTTCTATTCTTTATTACTATGCTATGGACAACATTTATTTTATGTTGTACAAAAAATCCTGGTTACGTAGATGATGTTATTAAAAAAGAATGTCAACAAGAAACTATTGCACAATTACTTGATGAAGTCTTAACTCATACAAATAATTTAACATTAGCTAATAATAATAATAATAATCAAGAAGAATCATCATCATCGTCATCATCATCATCAATATTATCCATCAATCCATTACAACGTTTTTGTACAACTTGTTTTATACGTAAACCATTAAGATCAAAACATTGTTCAACATGTGATCGTTGTGTAGCACGATTCGATCATCATTGTCCATGGATATATAATTGTGTTGGAATGATGAATCATTTTTATTTTATTATATATTTATTATCAACCAGTGTTTCATGTAATCTATTTATGTTGGGTAGTATTGTTTATTGGCAAAATGAATTTAGTTGTTTATCGAATACATCATTAACATCTGAGAAAACTGGTATGTTTATTTATAAAGTTTTTATGTGTATATATACATAATATCGATTCATGATGTCTCCTCCGAAATAAGAAAGCGAAGGATTGTTGAATTATACATGAAATCAATCTATGAAGTTATTTACTGTCGATCTGAGTCTTGTGGATAGGTAGAAACTATATGATTGAAGTTCATGGGATTACCATGATCAATTATTGGAGGTGTACCAATGAAATACATTAGCTTTGTACATGCTCTCTACTCAAAAAACTGCTGGTCATGTCAGAGCTTATGGCGAACTGTCATCGGAACGTATAAGTGGAGTTCTTCAAGATCTAGACTACCTGGTTGGGATTCGCGAGTTGATAGTAATCGATGGTTAGAGACCTTGAATGACATGGCTCAAAATCGTTTGCAATGGCGAAGGTGCATGCACTCATTGTGTTTTCCCAAACTCTAATCTTCTGAATTCTTCATGTCTTTATCTTTTTCTCTCTTTTCAAATTTATTTCACTGTATTATACTCCTTGAATAACATCTTCAAACCCTAATCTTTTCGATTACTGCTTATACTCTTACTAATTCTACCACTATGGGATTTGAATCGACAACTGTATCTTTGTGTTAATGTGGTATGGCAACTGGAACTGATGTACGTACGTACAAAGTTCTACGTTGTGACTTACTGACTGAATGTTCTTCTAAATCGTCGGTTTTTCTCATTTTTATTTAATTTTGTCATACAAATCTCTTCATAAATGATCCTTTCATTGTGTGACTTTCCAGAGGTTCATCTATCAGGAGATTCACTTACTGAATTCAAATATGCAGAGGAAATGGTTCTGTTTAGTAGATACGCTGGTAAAAATGTATAGTCTTCTGACCACCTTTAGCAACAATATGAATATGTTTGGGGTGAGTTTCACTCTATCCGAATGCAGAACGTTGCTTCAGCGCTGGTCTGCATCACTACGTAAATTAGTGATAAAAATTACAGTAGTTGTGCTTATTGACCACCACCCCTAGCATTCGACATAGGTGTCTTCGAAGCATTGCCTGTATATTTTGGAATCATTAAGTTAGCATTTCTAAGGTTAAACGCACAGTAATAGGTAAGGATAACAAATCGATAGTGGTTCAGAATCGTTCTCAATTGTGCAGGTGCATTCTCTCTTTATCTTCTCTTAGATCTTGAATTTCAAATTTATTTTATACTTCCTATTTCTCAAGTTTATTCTCTCTTCGCTAATTATATTTTCGATGTTTAATCTTTATCATCACTGGTACTACTACTTATACTATTTCAGCTTTTGTTTTAATAGCTGTATCTTCATCACTGGTTGAATTTAAAGCATATAGCTAATTTACTCAAATACTAAATTCCAGTTTATAAATGGGACATCCAACAATTTTTCTGTTGCTTGTTTAGAAATTCCCTCCATTAATAATAATACTACCTTATGTTGGATCTTTTGTGTGTATGTGTGTGTATGGTTATTGCTGAATATAGTAGTTTCGCCCTAAATAAAAACGGTCAACCATGAGTATTTTATATATAATCTATATGATTATTAATACTTTAACTGAGATCATCATATGGCTATTATACTTACTACTTTTAGTAATAAAAAAGTATAAAAGACATTGGGTGAAATACTCAGACTCATTTTTGACTCAAATATAGGCTGACAAGGATGTCACACTACAACACAATACAACAGAGTGTAATTTTTGCAAAATAAGGTTAAATTTACGAAATTAACCACTTCGTATTATCAGAAGGGGTTTTGTGGAGATTTAGTATTTTCATAGTTGAAAGCGTGCGTCAATTGAAGCTAGACCACCATGGAAAACCTGGAAGGACTGGAAGGCCGTTTCGTCCTATTATGGGACACCTCATCAGTGCACATCCACGATCCCGCATTCGCGAGATTCGAATCCAGGACTTACCAGTCTCGAACCAGAGCCCTTAACCGATAGACCACTGAGCGGGATCGTGGATGCGCACTGCTGAGGAGTCCCATAATAGGACGAAACGGCCGTCCAGTGCTTCCAGGTTCTCCATGATGGTCTAGCTTCAATTGCCTCATTTCGTACTAGTGTGTTAATTTCAATAAGCAGAATACCGTCCAGTGAATGATGACCTACTTAAAGCATTACTCAATATGTTCAACGCAGACCTTTATTAAGATTTTATTACAAAGTCTCATTCGCTTTAGAGTTTCTCAAGTTGTCTTCTGACAGTCTTTACATGTATTTCCAAATGGCGATATGCGGCCCCATGTTCTGTTGTTTGGCCACCTCAGATATAGTTTCTAAACATAGTGAGTATTAACCCTTTGTTTTATTTCAATGTTTGTGCTATGGCGCGTGCATCTCCGAATATATTCCACAAAAGTTGAGACTAGACTTAGAGAAGGTTTGCCAAAATGCGATTCCTCGTTATTTGCTCGAAAGTGGATATTGTGGTGTGATCTAATTATATCTGTATAAGTAGTATATGGTGTTGGTTAGACATAGAATGTATTTTGGCAGAAGACCGATGATGAAAGAACTGAAACAAAGCGCAATCGGTAGGAAAATGTACGAACAATGGAATTAGAGAAGAAACAGTGAAGATCGAGACTATTGGTTGTTAATTTGCAAATTGACTGTACATTGTATGGTTTTCAGAATTTACTGAGATAGTCTGTAATCTTTGCTTAAATACATTCGATTGTTCCCAACCAGTGTTCTGTTCACTACAGATATTATGTTGGTGCTTCGAAGTTTTTTTAAAAATAATCGATAAATAGAGAAGCTCAAATTTATTGTGTTTTGTTGAAACTTGCAGTAAAAAGATTTAAACTGCATATATGTAACAGTTATCAGTCTTTTTCTTCCCTGATGACCTCGTTTTCATGAGACTATTACGTAAGATTTTCTATGACCTCAATTCTAATTTCTAATATCTTAGTTCTTACTTCTGAGCTTTACTTAACTAGTACATATTTCTAAATATCATTTTCGAATATTACATTAATCACCTTGACCGGAATGAAATGACGTGACAGTGATTTATTCAGACCTGTTTTTGATTGATCACCTAATATTCTTTGATTGTTCCGTTGTACTATTTAAACTTGGATTAATATTAATTTGGTTATTTATTCTCTGAAGAAGTGGCTTACACTGAGTCACGAAACGTCAGAAAATCTAATTTTTCTACTCATTGGGATATTGCAAATATATTATTTATTTAATTACATTAATCTGTTATTGACTTCAAGGAATTTATTTATTTATTTAAACACAAATATTGGTACAAGGAAGCACCAAATAAATATGCGCCACACAAATCTCATTTGATTTGTGTGAGGGCTGTGATACTGCCCAGGTGCCCAGACTGAAGCAGGTGGTTTTCTTAGGAGACCACACCCAGAGCCTTCGACCTAAAAATCTGATCCACAAGGCAGCGGAACATCGTAAGGAGATGCAGTCCCATGGTAGCCCGTGACCAACGATTGGTTCATACGCCATTCGTTCCTTTAGGATACTGGAGCCCATGTGCACCATTGGTTTGGAATCAGGGTTTTCCAACTCCCTTAGGTGGACTTTCCGTGTCCACCGACCCGGTTAAAGCGTCGGACATTCGCTTTTCGTCCTCTCACTTTTGTGAACAACACCCCGGTCACGAGAAGGCGGTTAGTAGGACTTCCCTGGCAGAGGCTATATATTCGCTGGCTATATGAGAGCATTTGGAGAGGGAGAGCGGATTCTCCCCACTCTCGGCCGTACCAGGGCATTTGGGGGCTTTGATTTCAAGAAGAATCTTGCTTCCATGCTGTTCTAGAGTATTCGTATGTTTAGCCTATAAATAAGCGAATGTTTAAATAATGTTAGTTCTTCTGTATTATCGCCCCTTAGTATTATTCTATCTCTACGTATTAACTCAAGTTATTCTAAACGTTTCCTATGTGAAGTATGTGCACTTACTTCGTCTTCATCATTAATACTAGGGTTTTATGTTGTAAGCAGTTAAGGAGAATCCACAAAATGAATTCATGTTATCCTGCCACGGTATTTGTTCTTTCTTTATTCAAGTGTATTAGACAGTATTGAAATTCAAGACTTTTGAGATGACGAATGAATTTAGCTACGTCACTGGCCTATTTTGAGCCATGTCAACTAGTGTTTCCAACCATTGGTCACAATTAGCTTTCAGATCCAAACCAATTAGTCTGTGATTCGCCTCATGCCTTAGTAGTTCTTCAGCCAGTGATCTAATTAATTGATACCGTGTCATGGTTTTCCTCCTATCCATAACTTCTTCATTGTTTATAAGCAAACCTATATATGTGAAGATGGATAGTGGCTGGCAGTGGAATCCAGGATGCGCGTCCTATTTGGGACTCGTCAGCTGGATCTATCTGCATCTCAGAGTTGATGTTCACTCTGGGACTCGAATCTAGTAGCGTTCGCTTCAAACACCATCGCGCTCTCCACTTAACTACTGAGTCCTGATAGCCACTTGCCTGTGCAATGGGGTGAAATTTAAATTCACTCGGTATTGATTACTTGGATTTTCCCGTTGATATTTAGGACTGCAGCTGAAGGAACGCGCGTTCTAGATTTCACTGCTAGCCATTATCCATCTTTACTTATAATACTTGTGAATCAAGGCCATATACACAGTATGCGCATATGCCAATTACAGACTGATCAATTGCACTGCTAAAGATCAATGGGAGAATTCAAATAAACAATACCAATTGAGTTTAAACCTATATATGTGTTTATTGAGCTTTATGATATTTGTTATAAAGAGTAGTTGATCATTAATACTATGCTTCGTCTACTAGTCCCCGAATGCCCTGGTCCGTCCGAGAATGGGGAGGGCCCGCCCCCTCTCGAAATGCTCTCACATGACCACACGTATACAGCCACTGACAGCGAAGTCTTACTCACTGCCTTCTCAAGACAGTGTTGTTGTTTACGAAATTGAGAGGACGAAAACTGAATGTTCAGAGCTATAACCGGGTTGGTGGACATGGCGAATCCACCTAGGGAAGTTGGAAAACCCTGATTCCAAACCAATGGTGTACATGGGCTCCAGTATCCTGAAGGAACAAATGACGTGTGAATCAATCGTTGATCACCGGCTACCATGGGACTGCATCTCCTCACGATTCTCCACTGTCTTGTAAATCAGACCTTTAGGTCAAGGGCTCGAAGTGTGGTCCCCTAAGAAAACCACCTGCTTGAGTTCGGGCACCTGGGCAGTATATAGTGCCCCTTGTACTAATATTTATGTGTTCAAATGATAAAGTAATAAATAAGATGTATTTCGAAAGTTGATTATAATATATGATATTTTATAAATATACTTCCTTTTAATGATATTACATTTTTCATTATTTTACTTATTTTATATTTATCATAGATCTACTTACAACTATATGGTCATATCTATTATGTAATCCATGGATTACATTTTGTTTTATCAATGGTGCATTTTATTCATTTTGGACAACATTATTATTTTGTTCACAATTTTATCAAATGGTATGGTTAAATGCAACTACAAATGAACGTATTAATATGGATAGATATGTTGAATTTAATACCAACAACAACAACAACAACAACAATACTACTACTACTACTACTAGTACTACTACTACTACTAATAATAATAGTAGTAATAGTTCTATATCATCTATAAAATATAATCGTCCATATGATCATGGTATATGGCGTAATCTACTTGATTTAATTGGTTTACCTGGTTTTATTATGAATTCAAATAAACCAGTTGATTGGAGACAAATACATCAAATGGAACAATTAAATATTCAATCTTCAATATACCATAATCATCATCATAGTGATAATAATGATGTAGATAAAAAGTTACTAGATTGGTCAATATAAGTTTTTTTTTTCTTTTAAAAAAAAGAGAAAAAAGAAAAAGGGTGGATGTCATTTTCATTATTATCAGTGTTGTATATAATATAAAATGTTTTTCTCTTTTTTTTCTTTTTTTTGTTTGTTTGTTTCTTTTATTGACTGCTCAATGATAGTTTGTTTTTAACACTTTCATCATATTCTAACAGTTAGTAACTATTTGTCAATATTACAAATGATACCCTTTTTGAATTTTGTGGGAAAAAAAAGAGAGGAAAAAGAAAATTCTTCTCTTAGTTTATTGTTTATGATAGTTTTAATTGGTTTTTAATGTTCTTTTTTCGGGGGGTAAATTTTCATCAATTGGTTGTATTTATATTCGTTTATTGAGAAGAAAAAAATGTGTTGAACAGATCAGTATGAGGAATATTGATTGTAAAATTGAATGTTTACGGCACAATTGTTTGCATTGTATTCAATATCATCTTTAGTTCTTTTGGATTTTGAACGTTATTGTTGGGTGGTAATATCATTGACTGCTATATCAAGTATTTCGTGTGTGTGTGAGTGTATCTATCTATCCACACTATCGATCTATCTATCTATCTAATCTATCTATCTATCAACACTATCTACCTATCTATCCACACTATCTATCTATCTATTTATCTATGTATACACACTATCGATCTATCTATCTACCTATCTATCTATCCATTGTCTAATTGTATCTTCACTTACGTTGTTGCTACACTTGATAAATGAACCAAGTTATATATATATATTTTTCATTTATTTAGAAAGATTCTTCTTCTTGTTCGTTCCTTACATTTTTCCCGGTAGTTATGTATCGTTCATTTGTATAAACTGATTGTAATGTTTTATTTAGTTTCATGTATTCCTTGGCTTCTGGTTATAAGTTATATATATATATATATATATATATATATATATATATATATATATATATATATATATATACCTGAGTTACTGTTTATAATTTCTGTACGAAGAACCATCACTACCACCACAACAACAAACGATATTTTCAACTGATTGTAGTTTTTATTAAAACAAAATACCAAATAAAGCCTTTCGTTAAAAAAATTAGTTTCACATTGTGATTTACTTCTTATATGTAAGTATGCATGTATAATCATTCATGTTTGTATGTTAGTTTTTTTTCTTGGAATAAGATTCATTTTATAGGAATTTGTTCTCTATCTATTTCATTTTGACCAATTATGTAATATTGCTAACTTTCGTAAATTAGAAAATGATGTTTTGCTCCACAGACGCCCGTACATAAACTTGTACCTTGTTTTTAGTTTTTAGTTGTAATGATTAACAGTGGTCTTGAGTACTGTTAGAGGTATGAGGGCAGTTATTACTTCCCGGTTGTCCACACCGTGGAAGGGTATTTCTTGATGGACCCGAAAAGAAAATTGGATTAGAAGTGGTCTTAATGACCTGAGAGAGTGACCACAGTGCCCAAGGGACAACTGCTTGAGGTCGATCACACACGAACTTTTTGTGGGTAATTTTTGTGTTAGCTCCGTACTTGTTGGGACCTTACCGCCGGAGATAGATATCCATGGGATATGGCGAGGTATACATTTTTAGAGTCGATCTTTTCTAACTACAACCCTCCTTGTGGGAAAGCAGCATCGCTGTTATGCTGGTTGTCTGAAGGAAACACCTTACTGTCGTCACACCTCTGTAGTCAGCAGCACGACTTCGCCTTCGGACCTTGTGTTTGTTGCTTTTAGTCTTACCATTCTTCAACCGACCTGTCTGGCATGGTAGGACCTTGAGGAACGATTATTCTAACCAGTATAGCTTGATTGGTTCATCACGAAAGGCAAGCCCGACCACCACATCAAGTTAGCAGCATAACTTTCTCCCTTCCCATTTATTTTATTATTTATTTAAACACATAAATATTGGTACAAGGAAGCACCAGATACATATGCGCCTCAGAAATCTCATTCGATTTGCTTGAGGGCTGTGATACTACCCAGGTGCCCGAACTCAAGCAGGTGGTTTTATTAGGGGCCCACACCCGGAGCCTTTCATCTAAAGGTCTGATCCACAAGGCAGTAGAGCATCGTGAGGAGATGCAGTCTCATGGTAGCCGGTGATCAACGATTGATTCGTACGCCATTTGTTCCCTCAGGATACTGGTGCCCGTGTGGAGCATTGGTTGGGAATCAGAGTTTTCTAACCCCTAGGTGGAATCACCGTGTTCACCAACCCGGTTAATGCTCCGGACATTCACTTTTCGTCCTCTCAATTTCGTAAACAACACCCCCGCCACGAGAAGGCAGTTAGTAGGACTTCTCTGGTAGAGGCTATATATTCGCTGGCCATATGAGAGCATTTGGAGAGGGAGAGCGGACTCTCCCCACTCTCGGCCGTATCAGGGCATTATCCTTATATACAACCTATCTTTTATATATTGCCACCGCTAAATTAACTACTATGAATGCGGTGTTCATCTTGTTGTGCTAATGAGGTATGACAATTTGGACCGATACATATATATGCTTGGTCGTACGTTTTAGCTGACTGATTGTAATGATTAACTGTTGTATAAATCTATGGAAACCTTTAATCATAGCTTTGTACGTATGTAATTTCTGGTAAGTGGAATATTATTTTGTATGCAAGGATTAGACTATAATTCTCTCTGACCGGTTATTAATTTTCCCAGCATCTTAGAGTTGTTAGAAATTGTCGTATGATAACTGCTTTCTCTTTCTTCTTATGGTTGATTGGATTATGGAGACCTCGACATCTGACGAGTATTTGAATCTTCTAGGAAACTAATTGTTCAATAGCATAGCCAGTTATATATTATCATTATACAATTTGTCGTACTGCTACTAATACCACTACCGTTTTCTTGCATTCTACAAATATCATTGAAGATAATTAATAACATTGTAAAGGGGTTCTCTCTTAGTTAAAACTTCCAAATGGTCAAAACTGAGATTCTAACCCATCCCCTTAGACCTTTTTTGATTCACATAGAGGTGAAAGCATCATTAAAACTATCACATAAAAAAGAATATGACCAAAATTCGATGATTGAAAGTTTTCTCTGCATAATCAATTATATGATTGGTTGGTTGGAGTTAAACATAAACACCATCGCTCAGTGGTCTATCGGTTAAGTGCTCTGGCGCGAAACTGGTGGGTCCTGGGTTCGAATCTCACGAGGCGAGGTTGTGGATGCTTCTTATAATAGCAAGTGGCACGCTGGCAAGAACGACTACAAGAGTTCGATTTCACATGCGAGTACCGACCTGGAAGCCGACATACAAACGCAGTAAAGTAATCTACCATAACCTGTATGTAGCGATTCCCTTTCTTTGTTGTTGTTAATGGTCCCATGATACCTATGCCGACCCGCTGATGTGGTCCTGTGGTCACCATCGGAGGTAACAGTGCACGAGGTGTCTGTCGAGGCGATTTGAAACGGCAGCGCGTGTTACAACGTTTGCAAAATTGCACTACATCTTCATGTATGGATGGCCACCAAAAGCGCTGGCGGACCGCGTATTCCGTCCTTCGTTCTCCTGCATGACCTAGTTCGCGGTGCACCTGCTCCACAATGCTCTCAACTTTTATCCGTGGTACTACCAATGGAGGTTGTCTCGTTTCGTTAATTAAGAATAACGTGTCACCATATGATTTTAGATTGCTCCATTTAGTGCAAATACGATGAGTTGTTAATGATTGATCCTTTAACTCTTTCATGGATGGTTTATTGTTTCCCTGTAACTGTCTTTGATATATAATCTGCATGTCTGGGTCTGCTGCTTGCAGGGAAGGCCAATAGATCTCTAGGGCTGTGTTAAGAATTGCATTAACAGTACCTGCGGTTTGAGGTATGCGGGAAAGAGCGTCTGCGTTTGTATGTCGGCTTCCAGGTCGGTACTCGCATGTGAAGCCGAACTCTTGTAGTCGTTCTTGCCAGCGTGCCACTTGCCCCTCTGGTTCGCGGAAGGAGCGGAGCCATTGTAATGCACGGTGGTCTGTGCGTACACGGAAAGGTTTACGTAGTAAATAATGGCGGAAGTGTTGTAAGAGTTTTACTAATGCTAACATCTCTCGACGCGTTGTCGAATATCTTGTTTCGCTCTTATCCAGTCGGCGGCTACCTTACGCAATGACTCTTTCTTGCCGATCTGGGGCCACTTGTGATAGAACTGCTCCAATAGCAGATGAGCTGGCATCCGTATCAAGTATAAATTCTCCCCCGCTTGCTGAGGTATCCGGAACGGCCAATATGGGTGGAGAGCTTAGTCGTGTCTTCAAAGCATCGAACGCCTGTTGACACTCTGCAGTCCATAAAAATTTTCTTCCTTTGTGCGTCAAACGGTGTAAGGTTGCTGCTAACGATGCAAAGTCGCGGACAAAGCGTCTGTAGTAAGAAGCCACTTATGATAGTCAACTCAATCACTTGGGATTACTATAAATTTGATCTTTTGTGCTTCTGATTATCCCGAAAATCTTGTGTATACAAATCTTTTCTAAAAAATCTTATTTCATTTTAGGTTTTGTGCTAATAAGTTAGCAACGATTCTGCATATACTACTTTTTTATCTTCATTCATGTCCACTATGCTACATGACAGTGGTGGTGGTAAACGAGAATTCCGATGGGAATCAGGTTACGAAAAAACATGGTACGTTGTTTTTTAACTGTTGATAATATTCAATAAACCATTTAGAAAAGGTTTTGTAGTGAACGAGACACAGGTGGGGACAATCGAATGTATTTAAGCACAAATTACAGACTTTCTCACTAAATTCTGATAACCATACAGTAAACAGTTAAGTTGAAAACTATCAATCCATTGTCTCAATCTTGACTGTTCCTTCTGCAAATATCAATCCATATTCTATAATTTGATTGTTTAGGCATTTTCATACCGATTGCGCTTCATTCCTGTTCTTTCCTTATCGATCTTCTGCCAAAATACATTATATGTCTGACCATCACCATATACTATTTATGTGGATATAATTAGACCACACCACACTCGTCCCCCTTTAAATCATTCGTTCATGCGGTGGTTCTGCGCGCCATTCCACTTTCTCCTTTCACTGCAGTCTGTGCTAAACTCTCCGTCAGAATGTCGAGTCTGCGGCGCGCTGACCTCCATAGCTCCGTCGATCTTCCGGGGACCAACATCCAAATGCGAATTCCAGAGACAACTGAGTTCACATCTAGGCAGTTCTGTAAACGAGACTGACCCAGATGCTGCTTGGAAAGACATACGAACAGCTGTGGAAACAGCAGTAACATCTATTAGTCATTTAAACCATAGGGCTCCAAAAAACCAGTGGATTTCTTCTAAGTCTATTTCACTGATGGATTCGC